ATAAAGTGACCGGATATAATGATATACCGGTTATAGTGATAGAACACGTCAAAATCAAAATCAAATCAGAAAAAATACAGCTAAAATATCACTATATACACTATTATCGGCTATACCGATATATCGCTTATTGTGATTGACTTCAGGAAGCAAACCATATCAAATGTACAGGAAAATATCGCATATAATGATCAAGAGTGATCTTTCTGCATGCTCTTGTCCGTTTCTGGCTGTGTTGCCTCTCACAATGATGTTGCCAACTCACGTACACAGCCACTCATGTCCATTTCTGGCTCTACGCAACTCGTTGGACACCGAGTAGATCTACGTGAGTGCGGATCCAGCTCAGGCTTTTTTTGGAGAACACGCTGAAGAAGCAGCCATGCCACATGATGACTGTATCGAAGTAAGTTCTAGTACATGTACAGTCTGTACTCGTACTGCACTGCCCACGGCTGTTACGTAGATCACAAAATCGGACATTCAAAATGGCGTCATTTTTTTGAAACTTTTTGAATTTTTGAACGCGACGGCCCCCAGAGAATAGCTGAGAATTGCATTTTTCACGTTGGTATCCAGGCTATTTTGGCTCCTATCGTCTCCCATCGACACGGTTTACCATACAACCGCGATTTTCGTCCAGGGGAAGCTTCAAGGAACGCATTGATGCCTTTTGGATCGTCTTTCCCAAGAGGCGACAGGTTTCTGTCGCCACGTCGCCTCCACGTCCTTTGTTCTTTCGATTCCCAAAACTGCTCTACTTTCATTGCTGCCTACATCCCGGCGCCGAGTTTTCGCAGCTGCTTGCTGTGTTTTTGGCGGCCCTAGAGACCTTCTATAGCTCGAAAATCGCGCTCTTGTCCCAGATCGCGCAAAGGAAGTCTCGATCGCGCATCGACATTTTAGCCTTGTTTGTTGCTTTCTGCTCTGCGATGGAGCACCACTCGAGTATTCTTGAATCCGTGTGTCGCATTGGTGGCCAAAAACTTGCCAGTGCTAGTCACAAAACTCCATATCCGGTGAAGAATTATGTTGAAGAGATCGCCAAAGTTTTTAAAATTGATGTTTCCAAAGATTCCCCTGACGTGCATCCCCAGTACATGTGCTCACTTTGTCAATTTGCTATTGCACGTTCAATGAGAGATGACACATATAAGTATTGTAGTGGGGGCTGCAATGGTCCAGTTACATGGCAACCACATACGAGATCTAACTGTGCCGTATGTAAGAGTGATGCTGTACGAGCCAAGGGCGGCCGTCCACCGAAACGGAAAGCCGTCAGTGAACTGCGTGGCCAAGCGGCAAAACGACAGACACCAACGGCATCAACATCAGCTGAACTGCCAGAAGGCAGTCCTAGCTCTCAGCAAAGACGCACCAGCAGCAGTAGCAGCGGTGACACCAACACAATAGCACACACCACTGATAGTCAAACATCCGCAGTTACTTTGGACGAGATTTCGGCGCACGCAGCGCCTATGTATCGGGCTGAAGCAGCATTAGAGAAAGAGCGGTTTATTGACAGTGGAGCTGTGCAGGAATGCATGATATGTTTGCAAGTGGTAAATGGAGCAGTTCAAGCCAAATGCTGTGAAAATATATTCTGCTCAACATGCGTGCACACGTGGATGAAGAGTCACAATACATGTCCAGTATGCAGACAGCCAATGGCACTGGCGACACTGCAAAAGCCATGCAAGCTAGTGTGCAATATGGTTAGCAAGTGGGGTGTACATTGTGACTTCCATGAACCAGCATTGTCGGGTTGCCCAGCAACCGTTCGCCTCCATGAATTACGAGGTCATGTCACATCATGTCCGTTCAATCCATCCACATCCTCAGGAACGCCCATTCGTACTGCAACCAAAGCTGCAACAGTGGAGGAGATCTTAGCAGCGTCACCATCAAAGCTACGGGGCGATGTGAGTGACAGACTGACCTGTCACCTTGTGTCCGCCAAAGCAGAAGATGGGAGGCTGGAAGTGAAAACCAGCAGCCAAGGAAGACCGCAAGTTTTCATGCGAACAACAGTTGGCAGCAAGCAGCCGGAGGAGGCATCAGCCAGGACGCTGAAACGACGGTCACTGGAAATGGAGCGCATCACAGAGACAGTTTGCACCACAGCAGATGCAACACGGCATGGCGTTGCTGGACTTGGCGCTACCAGCATCAAACCACCTTCAGGCACTGCCCTTGCCATCAAGGCCGATCTAAGCCTTCCTTGGGCGCAACTCCGGAAGCTGCGCAGATGGCTCCGCTCCTTCGGAGTTCAGCTTGAATCGGAGAGAAGCATTCGCTCATTCATAGCCACCACCTTGCCGAAATACACAGTGAAGCAGCTCCCCTTTGTCAAGCGGACTGGCGAGTTGTCACTTGCTGCAGCTGTCTACTTTCCAAACCTAACCGACATCATTATCCACTACCTCGACATACTTGACAGCGGCAGTAAGCTGACATGGCATGATGGCGCCATCCCAGAAACGGAGATATGGGTCAAGCTGGGCGGTGACCATGGTAAGACAACATTTAAATTCGTGATGCAAATCGCCAACACCATGCATCCAAACTCACTCGCCAACACTGTGCCAATCTGCGTGTTTGCAGAGAAGGACTTGCCGGCAAACCTGGAAACTGCACTCTCAATGTATCGGAACCAAATTGCAGAGCTACAGGGCCAGAAATGGAAAGGCAAGACCATTGTGCCTTATCTGTTTGGTGATTACGAGTACCAAACCATGAACTACGGCTTGTCGGGTTCCAGTGGCGTAAGGCCTTGCCTCCATTGCTTGTGCACGAAGAAAGACATGCAGGTCCCACCAGCGAACCGCGACGTACAGTATGGAGCACGGTCCTTAGAGAAGATGGCGGAGGACTATGCACAGTTTACTAGCGCAGGTGCTCTGCTGTCAAAGGCAAAGCTGTATAACAACACCATCCGACCAGTCCTATTGCCAGTGCCCGTTGCGAGCGCCATTATTCCAGCGCTGCACCTAGACCTCGGTGTATTCCCGTGGATCTTTGATGTATTCACACGCGAGGTCCGTCTTCTGGACATGCAGCTTGCAGAACAATGCGACGCTGAAGAGCAAGACAGTGGACGGTTTAGAGCCTTGTCAACTGCAAATCACAAGTTGTCTGGCTGCAAAACAGCGTTCTCGGAAGCAACAGCGAAAGCCACCGCTCTGGAGAATCATCTGCACTTCATCGTCTTGTTTGGCCAGCAACAGGGCATGGCGATAGAAGCACTCGCAGGCGTGCTACAACGGGAGGTTGAGCAAGCACAGGCCGACACAGAGCAGTGTAGCTCGCAGCTGAAGATTGCTGAAGACGAACTGGCCAAGTTGCGCCGCAGCAAGGATGTTCTCGGCCCGTGCGAAGCGTCCATAGAGCCAGTACTGCAGAAGAACATTATCCATCGGCAGGCCTATCACGGCGGTGCTTTCGTAGGGAACCATATCCACCGTGCCCTCAAGCCCGCCGTGATCACAGCTATCACTGAGGCCCCAGCAATTGTCATTGGAGATCGGTGCCCAGCTCTGCGGAATGACGCTCAAGTAGTCAGTGAGCGGTACAAGTCCCTGTTCAGCCAGTACGCAGCGTGCAGATCTTCCTTCAGCCATTGCAACAAATGTGGAGAGGAGGAACTGCAGCAATTGGAGCTCTCCATTGCCTCGTTCTTGCAGAAATGTCGGAGCGAGGTGGTGGAGAGAGGCTTAGGTCACATCACTCCAAAGCTGCACCTCCTTGAGGAACACACTGTGCCGCTGATGCGGAGAGTGCACGTCGGGCTTGGTCTACTGTCGGAACAGGGCGCGGAAGGAATTCACGCCGAGTTCAACCTGCTCGAGAAGAGATACGGTTCCATTCCCGGCGAGCTTGAGCGCCTGCATGCTGTTGCAGAACAACACCTCGTATGCACCCTGCCAGACGTTGCAGATCAACGGCCCAAAGTTCGATCGAGGCAGCGGACTGCTCCATCGCAGGCAGATCAACCAGCCAGTCCGCCATAACACTGACTACACGCAAAGCCAGAGAGGTAAGGTCTAACTGTTCACTTCTACTTCCTCCAATAATAATTCTTCTTCTTGATGTTTTCGACAGCAAGACTTCTGTTCTTACTTCCTTGTCGTTTCAAAAAATATTTGGGTTTAGACCGACTTTACCGAAAGAAAGTACTAAATCCGGCGAAATTATATAATTCTATACATTTTGTACTAAGTCGAAAGGATTTCAGTAAATCCGCAGCGATTTCAAACTTTTCGCCGCCATCTTGTTAGATGTCCACTGCGTAACAGCCGTGTGCCATGCACTGCTCTGTGTCATGCACCGGTACACAGTCCGCGGAGCATGCATGCACTTTCAGCATGCTTTTTCCAGCGTGTACGCATCATTTCATGTGCAGTCATGTGCCATGTGTCGGTCAAACATGCAAATCGGCTATAGTGATGCACCGGATATAGTGATACATTTTCGAAAATCAAAGGGGCACGTTATATCCGATATTTACTGTACTTCGTTATGGTCTCGCAGTGGATCTGACTTTGAACCAGAAGTCGTTATTTGCTGACTCCCGCCTGATAATAATTATCACGTTCGAGCCAAGTTTGACATGGCAGATGGCATGTTGATCGCACTATAATCTTGTATAAGCTGAACGAAGTTATGCCTTGTAGCTGATAATACTTTTTCTCATGGAGTGCTGAACACCAATTTGTGGAGATTGTGGACTTGAAGGTAGGTGGCAGACTAGTAATTTAAGGTAAACTTCAATAGGGCATCTAAGTGTGAGGTTTTGTACTGTTACGCAGTTTGAATGCACCGTGCGGTCGAACACACACTAGTCCCTATGGCACCATTATTAAAAGTTGTTTTCCTCCATGTCATCTCTCTCCCTCCTCTCTCTCTCTCTCTCTCTCTCTCTCTCTCTCTCTCTCTCTCTCTCTCTCTCTCTCTCTCTCTCTCTCTCTTTCTCTCTCTCTCTCTCTGCATGTTCCTGTTAGCCGGATCGCTGGCCCAACGGCTTGGTGAAAGTTCTGAAGCTGAAGAGCGGCTACTTCTACTGCTATAACCGTAATCGTGAGTGTGCCCACAAGGACATCCACTGCACCAAGATCTACAGCTACTAGGTGCACGATGTACACATGAGCTGCTTGTGATCAGCCATGCATGACTTCTGCACATTGTCAACTGTGGCCATGAAGTAACAGGTGAGAGTAGTCTTCCGATCCAGCACTCTGCTGGTCCCGTTAAAAAAATGTTCACTTCAAACCTTTTTCAGTACGTCGAGCCTGGCCGTCTCAATTGCAAGCCCCCTCGATGTACGTCAAGACTGGCCGTCTCAATTGCAAGCCCCCTCGGTGTATGCAGGTCGACTGGAGTAGGGATTATGAAACATGTGAAGGGCAGAACTAATGCCAGACGGACGTGTGCTCAGATAGAGAGGCCTAACCTAACATGAATGACCTCATCGGTTACTCCATGTTTCATTGTATACGCTGGTAGCATCATGCCATTCTCGAGTACAGTGCTTTTCTTGTAGCTCTACTGTAGCCAGCATGTGTATGATATTCTCGCTCCTACTTTAGCTATAATGTACTCGAAGTATGTGATATTCTCGCATGCAGTTACTTGCATATAAATCTAGGTCTAATGCAGCTAGCACTTTCAGTATATAACGCTCAGCATATAGCAACGGGCATCGACTTTTAAATTCTTGCACTAACCCCCCACCACCACCAGGGGGACTGCCAACACATCATTATCTGCTAGTTGTTTACTTCCATCTCTACACTTTTGAGTGCTTTGGTGTGAAGGCACTGCTTGTTGATCAAGTCTTGAGACTTTCTACTTTGTATAATGTGCTGGTTTGACAAATCTTCCCATCTACGTCTTTGGCTTTTCATCTATTGTGGTGACAGTACTCATCTGTTTCCCTTGATAACGCTGCACCTTTTTTTCTTTTTGTCACATGTACGCAAACCCTTTCTGTATGCAATTGTCAGCTGATTTCTCTCTCTCTCTCTCTCTCTCTCTCTCTCTCTCTCTCTCTCTCTCTCTCTCTCTCTCTCTCTCTCTCTCTCTCTCTCGCTCTCTCTTGCTCGCTCTCTCTTGCTCGCTCTCGCTCTCTCACTCTCTCTCGCTCTCTGTCTCGCGCACTCTCTCTCTCGCTCTTGCGCACGCACTCTCCCTATCTCGACCGACCGACCGACGTAACATTATTTACAAATTGACCCTACTCCTGGCTGGACCAGTGCAAAGTTACCATTATGCGTACCTGTACGGTACACATCTGCACGCACACACAGAGCCAATTAGTCAGTTCTTCAATTTCTAGGAAGGAAGTAATGTGGCTGCTGACCAATTCAAGCTATGGGGTTTTGTCAATCACTGACAAGAAAGACTTGTACACAGATATAATGAGTATGTACGTGTAGAGAGCTGTTGAGTTTTAGAACTAATATTCTATGTATATAATACATCATATCCAATCCATGGACAGCATTCTATATACATAATATCTATATAATTATAATATGCCTCCAACCCAATGTATAATATGTACATAGACAATAAGCATTTCAGGACAGTGCCTATGTAGAATGATGGCCTGAAAGAACTGGACACCAAAAACATCATGCATATGGGTCCCCAGCAGAACAGGGTATGCATGTGCAAACGAAAAAACTCAGGATCACAAAAACACACACAGTTTGCACCAGTTGTCCATCACATGACCTAGCCGCAGCAGAATATCTACATTGTACACCGCCTTGGCATACATGCATGTAGAAGACGATCAATCACTGGTGTCTACAAATGGTCAGATAGCTGAAGAGTATACACTGAGTTATCAAGGTGGAGTGAAATAAGTGTATCGCCATCCCCCATCAACTGCCATGTAGGGGATGTAGTGGATGGCGACGGCAAGACAGAAGAACACCGGCCTATACACGTACTACAATCAACACACATCACACCATCGACTAATTTATCATCATCATCATCATCTCTATAGAGCACGGGCATGATTATAGTGTTACCCACAGCTGCTACAGGATAACGGTATACATGTACATCAAGAGTCTCAGGCATGTCCACTTTGATCTCGAGCCATGATGGCATTCGCAGACTTTCCTCACTTACATCCAACTTCATGATTGACAAATGCGCATCATTGAGGTCTCCTGTTGGTATCACAAACAGAGTACTGTCTGTGCTGCAGACGCTGACCGGCGGCTTCAGCATGATGAGCGGATCCAATTTTGCCCATACTGCACCATCATGTCTGGTATCTAATGAAATAACTTCTAAGAAATGATTGCGCCAGAAGCATACTATTAGAAGCGCTGACTGGGTTATAAATACATCCACAAAAGATTCTAAATATGTATCCATACTCGTATCTACTGGGATACAATCGCATTGTATTTCTCTAGTACCACAGTTTCCCTGTAGATCTACAACATGGATCTTGGGGATACATGTATACCTAGCACTAACACTTGCAAAGTACATTTTTTCATTATGAATGCAAAAGGTCCTGCATAAACAAAAGTGTGGGTTGTCAATGGCGATTACTCTTGTCCATGCCACCTGAAGACTTTCCTTGAGAGAATGAGTAGACCGGTAGATCATTGGTCCTTCCTCCTCTTCCTCCTGGCACACAATGTAAGCATGCCCGTTGTACATGGTACAACGATAGTAACGTAGCCAGCTATCAGGTCCACTGCCACGAAAAGACCACTGCAGAATATCAAAAACAGAAAGGAATAAAAAAAATGGACGGAGCACATTTTTCAGCACAGCTCTGTTCAAGATATGGCAGGCGTTTTCAGACAGGGTAAGCTACTTGCGAAATACACCACTCCTCACTGCAAGTTGCAACTATACCTAATAGTGAAGAATATAGTGCATTGTGTCTTTTGCCCCAAAGATAAATAGAGAGTGGAGCAGACGAATGCTAGTTAGGAGGAGGAGGAGCTAGGGGGGGGGGTGTTTTGGTTGGTTGGTTTTTATCATTTTGTCTCAGCAGTACATAGGGTGCACAGGGATGGGGAAGAAGAGCTGGAGGAGGAGGAAGTAGAAGAAGAGGTTGGCTATGCAATGACAATGGTTGATGAAAGTAACGGTTTCCACAGTTAGACGTAGGTAGGTCACATTCACATAATTTTATGCTTCTTTCTGTTCGGAAGTTTTCCCTTGTTGAATCATAATGTTGTATCCTGACCATCCACATTTAATTGAACATAAATAAAGATTTGAGTATTACTGAAGTTGCCGTAAACCTCTTCTTACAAAATTTGATTGCATTAACCCTTTCAGTGCCAGGCCAGATGCACGCGGTTGGCCGTGCCATTTTCATCAAAAATCTGATTTTTTCAAATTAGTCGTATCAACTCAAGCCGACTTGTTGACCTGCGCTGGCGTAGCTTGTGCTGCTGTGCCCTGTTCAAGCTCTACATCGACATCTCCGATATCCTCAGGGCCGTCCAAGGCGACCACAGCAGTAGGTACGACATCGACTAAGGCAGACTCGTCCGCGAAATTTGTTCCGTCACGATCGTGGACGGCTATGTCTGCATCCGAGTCATCGCCTTCACTATCGCAGCTCCAGTCATCACTGTCCGAGTCCATGATGGACTGGAGCACCTCTTCAGCCGACATGCGGCGACTCGCCGTGTCTGAGTGACAGCTAGAGAGACCTAAAGTACGTTCTGTCAATCTAATTGTTTCTGAATCGAAATATGTTTTTCGTGCTCGCGCTTTGAATGTATGCTCCCGCGCCCATACTTACTCCAACACGGCGAGTGAAGTCTTATTCAGTAGGGGAAAATCCCTAGTTTCCCCTCGAAGAGCCACAATCGGCGAAACTAGATCGTAGTGCATGGCCAGTGAGATATAGTAGTGCGCACTACGAGGACGAGATATCTCGTCCTTGGCCAATCGCGTGGGGGTCTGTAGGACGAGTTATCTCGTCTGGCGTGGCGAGAATGCCACGGAGTTCAGTCTACACGTTCATGTCATGTTCAGTTGCGATCTGCTTTCTCTTCCTGATTGCCATTGCGGTCATGCTGTCTGTTCTCTGTGATTTGACCTTTATCTCCTGGCATCTTACTGTCTTCATGTGCTCCCCTTGGGGGCACCTTGATGCCTGATGTAATATCGAATTTGTACAGCGGGCCACCATTTAGGTTCCGCTGCGGTCGGTTTCGCTGAGCCAGCCTTGGCACCGTGTAGCCTTTTTGGTTGTTGTGTTCTTGTGCGTGCGGCATGAGGTTTTTAGCTGTACCTTTGTTTGGCTGCGCTGCCTTTTGGTTTCCAGAGAGTTTTTCTTTGCAGATGTAGTTTTTTTAGAACGAAATAGTCGGTTCGTGACATGGCGTTCTACTTCTAATCAACCATAAAGTCTTTTGTGTTGTGAGTGACTCCGTCGAGTGTGAGCTTGGTATACGGCCCATTACGGGGACTGCGTGCGGCAGAAGCCTAGCGAAACACCATCGTCCTTGGCACTGAAGGGGTTCAATTTCTATTTCTCAGATTTTAATGAAATACAACAGCGCACCATACTCCACGTCAAATGTTTCAAGGGGTACATGTCCCTCCCCCCCCCCCCCCCATCCCACACACACACACACCTAACATTACCAGACCTAAATCTGTCCTTGCTTTACCTATGATGTTTGCATCTGGTCTCTTCTTACCTGGGACTTAAGTTGCGGCCGGAGAGACAGCTCATTGTCAGCTCCCTGGATTTCTGCTGCGTGTTCAGAATTGGCAGAGACATGGGTTGAAATGGCCTCTTCAGGATCTGCAAGAAAGGAGACAAAATAAGAAATGAAAAAAAGAATGGCAGGAAAACAAATTCAAGCCTGAGGCATTTCTCTGCACCGTCCCGATGTCGCTACCACTATTCCGTACTGTGATGATAACATCACTTTTTTGAGGTACACAACATTCTGAATTCTCTTGCTCGAAAATGCTGTTTGTGACAGATCCAAGTGTTGGCGTTCCTGCCGAGTGACTTGACACTTGACTGACACACGATAGCCGTCTTAAAGGGGATGGTTGAACAGGCGGTCACGTGCTCCTGCGTACACCAGTCACCTGGTCACCGTGCCTGCAGGGTACAACTTACTAGCCTGTTTGACCTTTTTTGGGTGCAGTCCTGTCACTCGAGTTGAACCTTGGTGTGAAAGTTGTCGCCTGCTGGCGTGGTGACCAGGTGATTTGGGCACCCAGGAGCACGTGACCACTTGTTCAACCATGCTTGATTGGGAAGGAGGAACGCTGCATCGCAGCCTTTTCGGACAAAAACCAGTCAACTCAGCGTCGAAAAGACTACAACATATGGGCCAATCGCGGTCATCCGTGCTTTTATAAGAACGAAATGGCGCTTTTAGTGACATTTTGCATACAAATCCCCATCTAGTAGGGCGCAGTCACCCAGTTTCGGTGGAAGTGCGCGAGTTCGATTGGGATTCAAGTAGGAAGGGAGCGTCTCAGCTTTCTCGGACCAAAACCATTCGACTCAGCACCCCGAAGACTACAACTGGTGAAATTTTAATTTTTGCCTTAACTTCCCCTTTAAGCATACCAGGAGCACGTCGAACCTTCCACTCGGCAAACCTGCAAGAAAGTACCACTCCTTGCTCAACGTGCTGCTCGTGTGCTCCAGACGGCAGCAGCTGTTGGTCAGCCAAGCGTCAGTTATTCGGCAGAAAGCAGCAGCTGCAACATTCGGAGGTGCCACTTTCTTGAAACTACAATGTAAATGAAAAACCAAGATAATTTGACGGTCCTGTGAAATTCCCACCGGAGCGAAATGAGGGAGGCCAGAAAGAACAGCACATGTATTAAGCCTAGCGAACACACACACACACATACACACACACTCACACACGCGCGCACGCACGCAAGCACACACACACATTATGTACACATGTGCATTGTGATCGACCAAGGTTTATCACAGCCATATTGGTGCACTTACGATCAATGTGAGCAGAGGTCGAAGTTGCCTTTCTTGCCGCTACACCTAAGAAGACCGCAAGAGGAAAGGCAAAGCATAATTTTACGACTGCAGGGTCACTTGCTCTCCTTACATCTTAGGTGGCATTCGTAGAAGCATTCTTGCAATGCTATGCGCGATACAACATGGTCTGCTACACCGCAGTGCGATGCATACTCACAAATTACCAATAACAGAAGTAGACGACGCATTGCTGACGTGCCTCAAAACTCAAAGCAAATGCGTACGTTACTGTGGCATTTGTGTAGTCGGGTACAACTTGTACAATTCTGCAAGCAACTCTTGAACATTTTGTACAACTTTGTTGCAAAGGTCAAAATCGTACATCGCATCGCATGTAGCATCGCGAAAGTTGAGCCAAGCAGTGGCAAGCTCAACTTCTGAGATGGGCCAGTTGCGACGGCTGAGTGAGCTGTGCGATCGGTGCGTTTGGGAATTTCCTGGTTTCGCGGCTGTCGCATCGCGCACCGCATCGTAAAAATGCTTCTGTGAATCCCGCATCACAGCGAGTGACGTTGCTGGTGCTAAGGGCCGGGTTCCACTGCGGCTCCGCTGCTCAGCGGGTTTTGGCTGCATGCAGCGGAGCAGCGCGGTTACACTGACACTCGCCATTCGCGGTACCGCCGTCATGCTCCACGTTTTTTGATGACGTCTCACCTGCCTGTGAGCGCGAAATCAAAAAATCCTCGTGTTCTGGCGTGCGCAACGGACTAAAATTTGAATTTTAAAATTTTCGCGTACAAAACAATGCAAAGTACGGGGGAACAGGTCGAGCCCCGACCGCGGCTCGCAGTTTTTGATCAAGAATCGTAGCGAAAGCTCGCAATGAGCCGCGGCCTCGCTGCTCTAGCTCGAGCCACGGTCACTATGGTAATGATGACGTTTCAAGCCGCGGATGACGAGCAGCGGAGCCGCAGTAGAACCCGGCCATTAGATGCAAGAGATTCATATGCATTGTGCATTTTGATGGACCAAGGCTTCATCACAGCCATATTGTTGTACGTACGGTGAACGTGAGCAGGGATAGAAGTTGTCTTTCTTGCCGACACACCTATGAAAGACCGCAACAGGAAAGGCAAAGCATAATTTTACGACTGCAGGGTCACTTGTTTTCCTTACATCTTAGGTGGCATTCGCAGAAACGTTCTTGCAATGCTATGGCCAATAGCATTGCATTTTGTTTTGTGAGTATGCATCGCACTGCGGTGTCGCACATTGGGTAGTATTGCCCATAGCCTTTGGGCAAAACAACGCGATCTGCGACACCGCAGTACGATGCATACTCGCAAATTACCATACACAGAAGTAGACGACGCCTTGCTGACATGCCTCAAAGCTCAATGCAAATGCGTACGTCATTGTGGCATTTGTGTAGTCGGGTACAACTTGCACAAATCTGCAAGCAACTCTTGAACCTTTCGTACAACTTTCTTGCAAAGGTCAAAATCGTACATCACATCGCATGTCACACGGCAGAAGTTGAGCCAAGCAGTGGCAAGCTCTACTTCTGCGATGAGCCAGTTGTGACGGCTGAGTGAGCTGTGCGATCGGTGCGTTTTGGGAATTTCCCAATTTCGCGGATGTCGCACTGCGCATTGCATCGTAAATATGCTTCTGTGAATCCCGGATAACAGCGAGTAACGTTGCTGGTGCTAAGATGCGAGAGATTCATATGTCCCCCTCCTCCCTCCCCCCCCCCCCCCTCCCCACGCACACACATCACCTTTATAGGGGAATACACTCCACAGACTTGCTGAATATTCTACTTGGAGCACAATGGCCTCGGGAGGTTCAGTACAAAGAGAGGCTTTTCTGAAGGACCACAAGTTCATCAATACATGCACCAAACCGTCCTCCGATTATTCCGATGCGGCAATACGCACTATTTCTCTTCATTGTGGTCCCAGTGACATTGCCAAAATGATACGGCGTTTGTGCTTTTATAACACGATGTAAATATTGTCGCTGATGCACACCGGTTCCCAACAGTGACAGAAGGCCCAATAGACACAGTACACGCAACACAACCACAAAACAATGGTATTGAAACTCACCACCAAGAATCTCAGGCAGTGCATTCAAGCATGCTTCGCCTTCATCGAAGATGAGCTTGGTCAGTGCAATCACTGCATGCTCAACATCCGGTTGGTCAGCCACAGCGACAGACAGCTCATCCTGGTCCAAGGATGGAAATCTCCCGGAGAACTCTTCAACCAAGCGCTTCTGGTCATCAGGATTAATACCTGGACAAGAAAGCAAAGAGTTTCGGACCTTTTGCTGCAGAGATAAATTGAAGCATATCAAGGAAGCTGTTTCGTTCTGTCAAAAGAGTCTCCTAGAAAACTTGTGTGCAGACAAACATCATGGACCGAAACATGCCTGCAGCAACCACTTTCCCAGACAACAGCCAGTCGTCTGTTGACTAGTGATGACCTCCCTATCATCATGGAACTAAGGCTTAGGAATTAAATGACTTCCCTATCATTATGGGACTAATGCTTTAATAGGAGTTGACTCGCTATATATATATGGGACTAACGCTTAGGAGTAGACTCGCTGCTATCGGTGCATTCCTAGTATTTTCCTACTGCACTAATCCGTCTAACCTTCGTCACTGCATGCCGTGGGACGCAAATTGAAGACTACTGCTCCGTCCACAGTTGACACTTCGAGAATGTGCAGACCAGCGAGCAGGCTAGATTGATCCTTACAGAACTCCCAAAGCCTTGCATGAGCCTTGGCAGACATCTGTACAAACACCGCCGTGTCTCCGCTCTCGCCGTGTACACTGTCGGCGTGGATACTCTCATCACCAAGGAGATTACGGAGATTACTCACGACACTTTTAACGAAACTCGGGGCCGTGTGATTATATTCACAGCGGATGATGAACTTCACTATAGATGAGCTCTCGTCTGTTTCAGAATAATAACAGTGTGTATGCATGCACAGTGACACATGCACGTTCACGCATGTACACATCCATCAAGTCAGAGACCGAACAAAGAAGAAAATGCGGAAGTTCGACTTAAAGGGGTGATTTCTTTTTCATGCAAGTACTTTGAAGTAAGCTTGGAGCGATAGCAATGGGTAACCCTGAAGAGTAATTAGGATGCGTGGATAACAAATGAAGGATGGGCGCATCCCCTCATCACTGGTTTGTACTGTTAACCATATGGAGGATATTATTCACTCCTACTCTAGCACTAAAATTAAAACTTCGTTAAGAACAAGATGAAGCTTTTGTACATGGACCCTCGATGTGCAGGACAGACAGGACACATACTGAATACTATCTGAAGTGTACGAAGAGTTGACAATACACATTAATTAATGTATGCTCCTATGTATTAGGTAACCTATGCCTGTTTGCTGTTCACATCTGATCACTTGGAAGCACGTTTTTATTGACCGCATAAAATGATGATGCAAAGGGAGAAAAGCACACCGGAAATAAGATGCTGGGTGTGAGAGTGGGAGTGTGTGACCACTTGGTCACGTGGCCAAACATAATAAGCTTGCTTCGGGTTCGCATCCCCCCCCCCCCAAAAAACAGACTCGCTCGGCCGGGGAAAAAACCTTTTTGGGCAAAATTTTGGTTGCTATGATCAATGATCCTGATGCTTACATCATGATATGTGACGGGCAAAAGCATAAACATATAATCATGTACTTCAGTGATGCACATGTATAATAAATCACATGGTATAGATCAATGTCACAGTTCACTGACTTTACTCATAAAGACTGTGTACTCCTTACAACCTGGATGTCCACCTGTACTGGATGTCTAGTACTGGATGTCTAGTACTGGATGTCTAGTACTGGATGTCTAGTACTGGATGTCTAGTGCTGGATATCTAGTACTGGATGTCTAGTACTGGATGTCTAGTACTGGATGTCTAGTACTGGATGTCTCGTACTGGATGTCTAGTACTGGATGTCTAGTACTGGATGTCTAGTACTGGATGTCTAGTACTGGATGTCTAGTACTGGGTGTCTAGTACTGGATGTCTAGTACTGGAAGTCTAGTACTGGGTGTCTAGTACTGGATGTCTAGCACTGGATGTCTAGCACTGGATGTCTAGTACTGGATGTCTAGTACTGGATGTCTAGTACTGGATGTCTAGTGCTGGATGTCTAGTACTGGATGTCTAGTACTGGATGTCTAGTACTGGATGTCTAGTACTGGATGTCTAGTACTGGATGTCTAGTACTGGATGTCTAGTACTGGATGTCTAGTACTGGATGTCTAGCACTGGATGTCTAGCACTGGATGTCTAGCACTGGATGTCTAGCACTGGATGTCTAGCACTGGATGTCTAGCACTGGATGTCTAGCACTGGATGTCTAGCACTGGATGTCTAGCACTGGATGTCTAGTACTGGATGTCTAGTACTGGATGTCTAGTACTGGATGTCTAGTACTGGATGTCTAGTACTGGATGTCTAGTACTGGATGTCTAGTACTGGATGTCTAGTACTGGATGTCTAGTACTGGGTGTCTAGTACTGGGTGTCTAGTACTGGATGTCTAGTACTGGATGTCTAGTACTGGATGTCTAGTACTGGATGTCTAGTACTGGATGTCTAGTACTGGATGTCTAGTACTGGATGTCTAGTACTGGATGTCTAGTACTGGATGTCTAGTACTGGATGTCTAGTACTGGATGTCTAGTACTGGATGTCTAGTACTGGATGTCTAGTACTGGATGTCTAGTACTGGATGTCTGGTACTGGATGTCTGGTACTGGATGTCTGGTACTGGATGTCTGGTACTGGATGTCTGGTTCTGGATGTCTGGTTCTGGATGTCTGGTACTGGATGTCTGGTACTGGATGTCTGGTACTGGATGTCTGGTACTGGATGTCTGGTACTGGATGTCTAGTACTGGATGTCTAGTACTGGATGTCTAGTACTGGATGTCTAGTACTGGATGTCTAGCACTGGATGTCTAGCACTGGATGTCTAGCACTGGATGTCTAGTACTGGATGTCTAGTACTGGATGTCTAGTACTGGATGTCTAGTACTGGATGTCTAGTACTGGATGTCTAGTACTGGATGTCTAGTACTGGATGTCTACAGTCCATTCATAAAAAAATGGGTCCTGGCTCTGGCGAGCTCCCGTATTTGGCGATTTTTCGTGATTTCATCGTACACAGTGCAGTGCTGCGAACTTTGAAATTTGAAAAAGGGTCCAAAAAGGGTGCCTGAACTGGGGTTCGAACCGCAGAATGCACTGTTGCAGGCGGGGTCAAACGGCCTGGATTTTGATGGTTTTTCCCAATTCAGTGCTTTTGGGGCAAAACCTGGCCGAAATCCTATTCTTGCTATGGCTTGCTTTTTGGACAAAAAAACTTCAGAAACATAATTGGAAGAGGATTCCATATGGGATTGCAGAAAAAAATTCTAAAAAAACTCAAAGTTTGACCCATTTATGGCCAAAAGCTAGAAGTTCATTTTTTTCTGAATGGACTGTAGTACCGGATGTCTAGTACCGGATGTCTAGTACCGGATGTCTAGTACCGGATGTCTAGTACTGGATGTCTAGTACTGGATGTCTAGTACTGGATGTCTAGTTCTGGATGTCTAGTACTGGATGTCTAGTACTGGATGTCTAGTACTGGATGTCTAGTACTGGATGTCTAGTACTGGATGTCTAGTACTGGATGTCTAGTACTGGATGTCTAGTACTGGATGTCTAGTACTGGATGTCTAGTACTGGATGTCTAGTACTGGATGTCTAGTACTGGATGTCTAGTACTGGATGTCTAGTACTGGATGTCTAGTACTGGATGTCTAGCACTGGATGTACATGACTGTACATGTAGGCATGTATGCATGATGTAAATGAGCCGTTTTGGCAGCTACTTACAGGCTCCTCGGGCACCTATTGTACACTTATTCAGACCAAAATAAGTTTCAGACTTAGGAGAATATGACCCCGTCGGGCGACCGTAAACAAGGTTTTTGTTTTGGCCGAATATGGAAAATGACCACACCCTCCCACACTCACATCCACACGCAATCACCCTTACACCCACACCCTCCC